AGCGCTCTCCGGAGACCACCTCCATAACTTCGTTCAGAGAATCGTTTGGCAGATTTTGAACGCAGATTTGAAATCAGCGTCAAAAAATACGCCTAGCAGTATAGGTCCCATTTCAAATGGCCACTTCGACTTGGGATCCTTCCCTTGTTAGTACAATCGATCCACGCGGCTGTCGCGGACCATTTGCTTAATTATAACAGTTAGCGCTCTTCATACAGCTCAATCGCTATGCGATTATTATTTTTGGCATGATTCCACTGTTATTTCTTTTGTTCCTGTATTTTTTACTTGTTGCTGCACTCCGCTACATTTTTTCGCGCGACGTCGCTCTCCCCGCGACACGGCGATTTTGTTCCTACTGCACCACACCCGTCCTTGCTATTGCTAGCATGGCTGCCCTTCTGGTGCCTGCACCACTCCGATCCTACTCAGGGTTCACTTGTTATCAAGGTTGGCTGCTGTGAACAATTCTTACATTACAAATAGTAAGGAAAAAGTGCCTTTGGCTTCTACTTTTTTCTCCTTACATAGCTGCATAGCTTTCTAGTTCTTCATAGTGGAATTTCTTTCGCATTCGGTATGAGCATTTCGACAAGCTGCCCGAATAGCCGATCCTAAACCTCAGCCAATTCTTAGGCAGGTGGACATGGTCTTGAAACAACAAAGTAACAGTGAATATCTCGGTTTTGTAACTGACGAGGCTGTGGCTGGCATTAATGCTATTCCCAGCCTCAGCGGCTCCCCACAGAATTGCTGCTCTTCTCTTTTCAGCTTTTCATTGAGATCCATCTACTTTTCGGTACAGCATCACTTGTTCTGATATTGGTTATTATTTTCTTGCGGTTTGCGCGCTTTCAAGCTGGCGTGTCAGCTCGATAGTGTCGAGCTTCGAAAACTGATGCCTTCTAGTGTCGCAAAAACTTTGCTTTTCTGGTACTAACGAGCTCCGTCGAATTTTCCGATGACGAATCTTTCCACAGAGTGACAATAGAAGCTTCGATAAAATATGAAGTGACCTCAAGCATTACGCATTCGCCTACCAAAGGGTGTGTTGCGATTCGTGCGATTCTGGGTGCGCACGACAAATTGCGCGGCGAATTCGGTGCAATTTCGATGACTGCAACGATTATCGCTTGGGCCCAAATTTCAAGTAAAGTAGATTAGTAGGATTGTCCGATGCTACTGAAGTACTCTACTTCAAGTTTGTGCCCCAATGATAGACGCCAGAGTTGTTTGAATCATCGCGCATTTCGCCGCGCGCACCCAG